ATGCGCAAACATGTCACAACCGCCATTTTGATTTCCAAAATGGCGGTTGCGGCAAGCGTGGCCGCAGAGCGGCAAAAACACGCGGTGGCGGTGGCATGCGGCAGCGGCGGCAGTGCGTGGCGGCGGCAGCGGCAACCTTCGGCCTGGGCTGGTAAGTCGAGGGACTGGGGCCTAAACATCTTATCCAAATCCCTGTTGTTCTGAAACAGTTCTGATAAATGATCAATGGAATAATGGAATCATAGATTTGGCCTGGTGGTGGTGGTGAGACAGGAAAAGGTAAGTTTTCAGGGTCTGGAGGGGGTCAAAGGCCACAAAAAATGTGTATTAGCATGTGGAGACGTGACAACCAACATACTCATCCTTCCAATTAGGACAAATTAAATCTTTAAAACCGGTTTCAAAACTGCTTCAGGCTGGGATCACTTTTGACATTGTGCCATGTGTGCTGCTGTGTCATAAAATCCAAATGCAAGAACAAATAATTGAGAATTTGTAGTCTTTTCATCGCAGTCTCCCCCAGGGGTGGGTGAGGGGTACCACCTCTCCCTACCTAATGGGAGGGCAAGCCCAAGCCTGGGCAAGGGCAAGGTGGGGCTCTACTACAAAAGGTGCCCTCCCCGGAGCCAGCACCAAAAGGGACACACCTCTGTTGAAGGAGTGATAAGTCATGCTATGTGGAGTTATGTTTTCTCAGCAGCCAAATAAATGTAGGTATTAGATAAGAGACAGTATAAGAGACTGATTCAGCATATACTAGCAATATGTTTCCACATTGTCTTGGGGCATTACTCTGGGTCACACTGGCAGTTTTACTTGTCAGATGGTTACATAAGGGCGTATAAGTATCTCCTGACGTAAGCAGTTTCCCTTTCCTCCACCAGCACAAAGAGCCAATTTAAAAGCCATGCTCTGTATACAGCAACCTAGAAAAGTCCAATTCCACTGGCCTTGAGTGGATCTTGATCTAAGGACTGCATACTTTTAGAAGTATGATAAAAACAGGACAAATATGCCTATTGCTGTACCACACTCTCAGTACAAAAGGATGGAAACTGGTAGTGGGTACCAAATGATAGTACAGTAACCCCACAGTATCCACTAGGGTTTCGTTCCAGGACTCCCTATGAATACCAAAAATCATGGATGTTCATGTCCCATTATATGCAATGGCATAGTAAAATGGTGTCCCTTATACCTATATAATGGCAAAATCAAGATTTGCTTTTTGAAACTTTTAAAATATACATATATTTTCAAGCCCAGGATGGTTGAATCCACAGTTGCAGACTCCATGGATACCAAGGACTGGTTGTAATAGTAACAGCAAACAACAACAGCTCTATCTCTACTACTGTGATGGTAACACCACTGTTCTTGTTGTTGTGTTCTTCCAAGTTGTTTCTGACTTAACAGTAACCCTATCATAGGTTTTCTTGGCAAGTTTCTTCAGAGGGAGTTTGTAATTACCATCCTCTGAGGCTGAGAGTGTGTGACTTGCCCAAGGTCACCCAGGAGGTTTACATGGCTGAGCTGGGATTCGAACCTTGGTCTCCAGAGTCATAGTTCCATGTTCAACCCACTACACCACACTGGCTCCATTACCACCACTGCCATTATTTATTAGATTTATATTCTGCCTTTCTTCCAAGGAGTTCAAGGTCAAGATCTCAAATAAGGTCTGGCTAATGATGTCTTTGCAAGGTGTGGTCCTATCTACTGACATCATGGCAGCTTCTGTTGCATCCAGTCTTGTGTGATGCTTTTTATGTGGCTGCCCAGATGGTTTGGCCATTTTTGTTTTTAATTAGAAACTGTTTTGTGGGCTGCATTTTAAAAGAAAGAAAAAAGCTGTGCCCATATGAAGCTGTGTCAGTGCGCTTAACCCTCATCCCTTCCACTATTGTCTGTTCAAAATTCCTCTTCAGTTGTTTTCCTACTTGGAGGGGAAAATAGAATTACATGAGGCCACCCATTAAACATGTTGGTTGAAGCACTTTGTGAGAAGGGTCTCTCATTTCATGAACTCTGGTTCAACCCTCAGGATTACATAGCACACTTGGGAAAGTTACTTTTTTGGCTTACAACTCTTGGCACGCCAAAAAAAGTCATTTTTCCTAAACTGCATTATTAAGAGTTAAGTTGTGCTTAAGTCTATCTGGTTTCAATAGGAAAATCTGTGTGTGTGTGTGTGTGTGTGTGTGTGTGTAGCATCAGTAATTAAGATGTTTATAATTCTTATTATAAAATAATTTTTATTTTATATGTTATAATTTTATAACAGAAAACAACAAGTGAAATGAAAGAGATGGGTTTTAAATATAATTAGAGCTAACCGTTGAAAAGCTGGTCTATCTTGTGGAAAGAAAAATGAATTCAATAAATTAAATTAAATGCATAGTCTGCTTTAACCTCTGTGTTTTCAATGTGTAATTAAGGAGATAATATTAAAATGATAAAGATAAAATGGAGTGCAGAGATGGGAAGGAAGAAATGAGAAAGTAAATTCATGTTAGCTGAACAAAAAAGTACAATATTGGACCATAACATGCTGGTTTGGGGTAATATTCTGATAGTCAAAGCACCCTAAAAAGTTATGCCAGTCATCATTAAATCTGTGTGATCAATCCGAAAAGTTAGTTGTAAGTAATTTAATTCCCTCTGATTTTATTTGGAACTCCATGTGACTAATTTAAGGTGGATCCTACCTAGACAACACTTCAACATTACTAAGCATTTTAAAATTGTTATTATAATTACTATATTCAAAGTAGTTTCAGCATAAAAGAAAAAAAAGAGTTGTTTAACAGATTAATTTTAGCATCTCTTCCATGGGTTATAATTTACTTCCTCATGCTTAGCTGGGGAGAACATTTCACACCCCAGCCAAGGTAGTTCCTCCCGATTTATTTATCTCGTCATTTACCGTAATCTATATTTGGTGAGGACCTGTCTTACATTCCATATTTTATTAGTGCCAGGTAGTCTATGAATGCAATCTTCCTGTATCAGCAGTGACCATGAACGCCTAGTAACTCCAAAAATCTTTCAGCGATATCTCTGCTGGACTACACCACTCTCCAATTTTTGTCTCAAGCTCTCCTGACTCCATCAAATGCCCCACATTAGGTCCACAAACTTGGTTCATGGCCTTATCTTTCCCTGCCAAAGAGGTGCGTGCGAGCTGACTGTCTGATGCATCGATTGCTCACCAGTGATGAAACCTTGCCAAAACCCAGAGGAAGCTTTGAATAATATAGCCATGTGGCTCATCATGCATTATATATCAATTGTTTTAAAAAAGAAAAGAAAAGAATAACCTATTCATTCTTTTTTTTTTTTTTACAGTGTTACTTACTTAGAATGTAAGAAATCTTAAACCTAGAGATGTGAGTTATTTTTTTCCCTACTGTTTTTCAAAGAAGAGGCATAGATTGCTTTAATTGTAAAGCTGGTTAAAGTTACTTCATAATATTTTTTTAAAATGCAATCCAGATGTTATTCTTCCTCGGAAGTTGCCAAAATTCCTCTATACAGAAGGGAAAATATCTGCCTAGAAGTTCAGTAATAAAGAATCTTTCCTTCCATTAATCTGACTAATTAAAATAAACAATTAATTTAAATAACGGAATCTGGGCCCCTTTCCTCCAATTTCCTGCACTCTGTATAGCCAAGAATTGGATCCAGATGGAAGAGGCCTAAATGCCCTAAAGGCACCAGATCCTGTCTGCTCTTGAAAGCTAAATAAAGTCAGGCTTGGCTAGTACTTGGATGAGAGATTGCCAATTAATGTGAAGTACTGTAAACTGTTTTTCACAGGAAGAAACTGGCAAAGCCATCTTTAAGTAGCCTATGAAAACCCTATGAATTTGAAGGGGTCACCATAAGTCTCCAGGTGATCTGAAATATATACATACACACACACACACACACACACACACAGTGCCTATAGATGTATCTGGCCAATTTATTCATGCATTCAAACATACATATATTGGGCCATTTGCATCTGCTGATGTTTAGTTCCAGGACCCCTCTGTGGATACCAAAATCTGTGGAAGTTCAGGTCCTATTAAATACAATGGATAGTAAAATGGTGTCCCTTATATAAAATGGAAAAATTAAAGTTTGCTTTTTGGAATTTATATTTTTTAAAAAATATTTTCAAGCTGTGGATGCTTGAATCAGTGGATAAAGAATCCATAGATACGGAGGACCAACTGTATATACATAACATGATTTTTGTATGCTGTCTAACTGGAAATGCCCTGGGAGTAGCATCTGCTGAAGTTGACTATAAAGCACAAGAGTTCACACTGTAACAAATCTGTTCGTCTTCAAGTTACCATACCTTTTTGTTGTTGTTGTTATTTTGCCTCAAATATAAAAAATGTAGTAGTAAAACCTGTTTTGATGTCAAATCCTCATATTGCTTTAATAAAAAACACCTGAGTTGTTATTAAGGGTCTATGATTTCCCTTTGAAAAAAATATAACTGGGGTTAAGTACAACAAACACCCAGGAACAGGAATATATAACACATAAGTGCTGTTCAAAATGGTAGTCCGTCTACAGGGCATTGGCTGCCAATCCCCAGGGAGTTTCCAAGAACGAAAGAAACCATTTTAACCAATGATAAAAATATATGGTACCAGCCCTTGGCACATGGAGAAGGGGGAATTCTGATCCACCATATCTCAAGCTATCCACACATTATAAAACACAACACATTGGCCAGATAGCTGTGTTACCACCATTTCAATACGAGAAAGGAAAAACCCAAAAAACCTGCTGTGTCTGATGTGGGAGAGCCAGGGGACAGGATCTCCCATGGTTTAAAACCACAACACTGGAATGATAGTGGTAATTGGGATCAAGACACATGGGAAAAACATAAATTTGGGATTTTAATTAGGTAAGCATCACAGAGGGAGGGAAGCTAATCCTTACAGTGGAGTCGTGATCTTAATCCAAACTGACCACAGTGGCCACTAGCACATCCCATGAGCATACACTTATTATGAGATCTCCAGTGTCACATCTGTTTGCGTAAAGGAGTCTGGAGGTTTGAAAGAAAGCAGTTACCACATTTTAAAAGATTTGATACTATTTCCTGCTTATGGGAGAAAGCATTAATCCATGGAACACTCCCCCACTCATTTCTTCTTTTCCCAAAACTTATTCTTAACTTGGAAGGGGAAAATAATGTTCCCTCCATCTGCAATTGCTCCTAGCCAAACATCTGCTTTTGCTCTGTTCCGGGGCAATCTGAATACATCTCTGCTTAAAGGTAGTACCATACACTTGTGTGAAAATCATCTCTATAAGATTTGGCAGGTATCTCCAGTGTATTTACATGCAGTTTTGGTTTATTGCCTGTGTCACCTACAGCAATCTGCTCTACACGTACAGCCCTATCCTGTTTGCTCCCAGTCTGTGACACATTCCTGTGGCTTATTATGTGCGTTAATCTGTAACAAATTTACAGATTACTATCCTGCTCACTATCAGGACCCATTCTGGGCCCTGATTCTAGGCCCGCGCAGCTTTCTTGCTGAACACTATATAGTTCTCTTATCGATTTGCATTGTGTAGCAACTTTGAAAAATAAACAGATGCTTCCAAGGTCATTCTTTGGTGGTATTACTGATAACTGCCAACAGAAATAAGATTTTCCATCTGCCTTCTGCTCCACATAAACTTGGAGTGTTTATTATATTGCCTTGTAGGTTTACAATATTTTCTTACTTTAAATTTACAACAAATCAAGCAAATGCAATCATCCTTAGATTAGCTGTTACTTGTCTGGATTACTTTTGCTAATCTAGAGATTAGAAGTGTGAGCAGCTTCTATCCCTCCACGTTTTTGGACTACAGCTCCCATCAGCACTAGGCTGCATAGCCTGTGGTAAGGGATCAAGGGAAGTGTAGTCCACTAAGAACACCCAAAGAGCTACAAGTTGCCTTCCCTGGGCTGGTTCACTGCCTGTTTTTCAACTCTTATTTGATTTATTGATTTTATTTCTTTGATACATCTGAGGAAGTAGGGCATCCTTGGGGCAGGCGGTGCGGTTGCTGCAGCTTACAGAAAAGGCAGCTTCAGGTCACCTTTTCCTGCCCATCTGCATAGCCCCTATGTCTACTCTTAATATGAAAAGAGCTAACCAAAGTGCTGAATCCTATCCCCACCATCTTGGAGAGATCCTTTCCAGGGAGGCTGTTTTCAACCCCATACTCTTCCTCTGAAACAGACAAAACAGAAATCGACATCACATCTCTTCCAGTTTCGTTTTTGACTATTTTTTTGCTAGTGTTGGAGTCATTTTTCCTCCCTGCACTCTTCCAGTGAACCTGACACAAATGGACATGACGTTGCATCTTTTCCAGTTTTGTTGTTGGCTAATTTTTGCACGTCTTGGAGATGTTTTTCACCCTCACACTCTTCCAGCAAACCTGACACAACTGGAAGTGAAATTTTTGGCCAGTGTGTTTGAGGGGGTTGCTTTTCCAGGCGTATGAGAGTCTTCAGGGTTGTGGGAGCCAAATTACATTTTTTGCAGCCCCTTAAGCTGTTTTGGAGTGAGTTGGGGTTAAACA